TTTAATTATGACTAGATATTCTTCAGTCATACTTCCAATTTGAATTATGCCTAGTCACAATTCCAATTAGAATTATGACTAGTCCAATTTAAAATTGGACTGAATTTGAATTATGACTACAACATATCAACAAATCACTATAGGATACTGAGCAGCTTTCAGTTCGAAAAAAAGAACTGTAGCTCCCATTCGCAGGAACTGGAACTGATGAACCGTTCCTCATTTCTAGAAACGTGAACTGCTGAACCGCTCCTAGTTCAAAACGGAAACTGAAAAACCGTTTCCGTTCATTAAATAGGGAACTGAAAAACAGTTCACGGCATCGAGAAACTGCAGTACACGAAACTCTGAACTGTCATAGGCCTAGTGCCGCCCACACTCAATGTTAGTTTATTCAATGTTTTATTAAAGACAAATTTTGCTTTGCTTCAAAAGCAGAAGTGGCAGCACTAATAAAAAATCGTTTTTACTAAAAATTAAATTATCTTCAAAGAGCAAATGAGAGATACTCAGCGACAAATGAGTGATATTACTTTATCGTTTTTTGGTAATTGTGCAATCCACTAAATGTAGTTATCGATTTACTCAAGATGAACTTGAATTTTATTGTAGTGTCTTCATCTGTTCTATCAATTGCTGAAAAACTTTATAGCATGCATTTAATGGATAAATAAAAAAATACTGAATAATCAATAAAATAATATGATCATTAAATAAATGAAAAATGATGAATAAATGAAACTTGAATTATCAATAATTTATTTAATTTAATAAATAAAAAAGCACTTTTTTCACAATAATTTATTATTTTCAACAAATATAAAAATAAACCTAGACAAGTATAATATTAATTGTTGATAAATAACAAAGCACAAATAATTAGAATTATTTTTTTAATAAAGCTTTAGTAGCCTTTTTAGGACGACCTTACGCTTTACGTTTTTAAGCGACTTAAGAATGTTCGATGATTTGTTAACATATCTCCAAAATGTTGTAATTTATCGTAAGCATGCGTTACTCGAACTATATTTCCATCAGCTAATGTAATCATCAACCATTTCAATAACCGAGCAAAGGCATCATGTGTACTTGCACCAACAACGGCTTCGCTGATTGTATTAGGATTAGATTCGAATAATTGAGGTTCATTGTAAAACTCGTCAGTTTCATCGTCAAATAAATATGGATCATTTGGAACAGCCTTCACTGGGATCTCAACTGAGGATTGTACAAGTGAGTCTTCTACACTTTGTGTCCATATTTGCTGAAAGTGTTGGACGATCACGATCATTAACTTTGTCACGATGCACAATATCGTATAAAATATCCAGCGATGACGCACACATGTTTGAATTGACTCAAAAAAGTCTTGTTTAACGTCTGCAATCCTTAAATTCGAGCATAACTCGATTAAATTTTCACAGAGACTGAAAACAGTTATATCTAAATAAAAAGAATTAAGCACATAGGTTTATGGGCATATATGCATAATCCTGAGGTCCTGTCTTTGTCTCTTTCAGCAGTTCTTTCCATAGAGATCTTGTAAAAGTAAGTTACTTACCAACGTCAGTGTGTCCAGATGACATAAATTCTATTTCGCTAGGTAATGAAGAAGTTTGTGCTAAACTATATTCGAAAATAAATTTGTTTGTTCATCTTAGTCTGTCAATACTTACGCATTTTATTCACGCGTGCGCGACCTTGTGAACTTGAAGTTATTATTGTTGACGTTGAGGCGAAAGCATATTGAACAGGATCTGTTGTGTATACAGGTTCCTCTAAAAATAGTTTCAGTCTGTGTTGAAAGTTTATGCATATTTTCTTTTTATGATTTAGTTTCACGTATGGTTAACCATCTTTTATTTGGTTATTAGTGGTCAGATAAGTATTTCTTTTGTATCTGTTAATAACATGATCCTTTGTGTTTTGTTTTTTTCTCTTTAGAACTATCGTGCAATATTACTCCTGATACACAATCAACACATCAAGGTATAGAGTGTATGTATTGTATTCTCGAGTGGAAAATGAATATACTGTATTATTTAGATTGTCTACTGAGAAAGTAAACGAAGTAGTTTAAAAGAATTAATATAGATCAAACACAGATGATTAGCCAACCTAATTTCGAAAGTAACTTGATGGATTATGATAAATGTGATAAGTTGTGATCTGCTTTATGAAAACATCACAAGTGTGTCTGTGAAATCATTTATAATTGACTCTAGTCGTAAGCGTAGACATGATGCTTTTGCCTTCTGAGATGAATAACCTTTGTCCTTTTTAAGTGATAGAATTTTGTACCTTAAAAGATAAAAAAGAATGTACCTGATTGGTATTCAAAATCTGTAATATTGAGCGCGTCAGCATAATGATCATTGTCACTATTGTCACCGTCTAAACGGGACAGTAAGAGAAAATACGCGTAAAATTTGTAAACAACTTTCAGAGATTTTTACCATCATCCGTTGGGCGACCAGATTGGTCAATCAAAAGCTGCATTAAACCACTTGCTAAAGAAGCATTAGGCGTAGCTTGTTGTCATTTAGTTGATTGTTGTGGTTGATCATTAATTGCTGTTAGCAAGTAGAATATTTCATCAGGTCGAAGAGAGGAAAGAGGAAGTCAACAGAAATCGCACAGTATACCTTTAATTCTTCTATAAGTAAATTTACGATAACAATTATGATGGTAATTAGCCCCAATTAATGACAAACGATTTTTCAAGTTTGGAAGCAAAGACTCCATTTCTTCCCGGAATTTTTCTGCACGCGCATCATCATTGATTGTTCTGTAATCCTTCCCAGTTCCGCTTGACTCGCTGCATAAAATACACTGACGTGTAAAGGGAAATTGTCGCTGTTTATGACCTCTTGGCTTTGGTGCCATCTAAAAAAACAGCACGTGACTTCCGCTTTTATGTGTAGTGCAACATAACAGATAAGAATCGACAGTTACACATTAGTGGACTTATTACATGTTATCGTTTTCGATATATTTAGACATGGCTTATCTCTTCATATAACAGTTTCAAGATTAGTGAAGCGGGGTTATAGAATGTTTATCATTAGGTTAACATGTATAAGTTTGACCAGCATTTAACAGGAGACATTATCGCAGCGTTGGCAACAAATACCAGAATTAACTTAGTTGACTTGTCATTAATACCTTAAATAGTTAGACAATCACAAACCATTCATTACCCAAAATTTGTCTAACTTCTTTTTACTGCAGCATAGCACTTGATATGATACTTGTAGCAAAAATTCAAAGAATCTAAACAAGCAGGATTTCGTATTCATGCAACATAGAATTAGATCATCGTTTGTGATCTTTTGTCCCTGATAAAGTTTACTTTTTAACTAATATTTTCATTTGAATAAGTTTCTCACATTTCATATACGTACAGATATTCAGGGCTATCGCGATCAGCGAGGGATCCGGAGGGCGACATCCTAATAATCGAAAATCTTTCTTTTTCACCGGCTAAATGAATAAAAAATTTTGCAAAAAATCGTCGCGTAGCTAAGATTCTCCCAATCATTTGCTCTTTGATTAAGAATATGCGAAAAATGTTTGGTATTGTTTCGAAAATTTTCGTAATATTACAGTTGGGTCATATTCGAATACATCTGAATAGAAATATATAGTTGGCTGACTTTGAAGTTTGCCAAATGTAAATGCAGAAGGTGTATATATTTAGCTATTGAGCCACATGAAAAAACAACAAGAATTTCATACAAGGTACGTATATAAATCAAAGTGAAACCATCAAGAAATATCGAAAAGCTAATGACTTTTTTTTTCGTAACAGAAACGAACATATAATAAAAGTGCTACTGAGTGTCAAGAAGTTTGAACCATGCAATATCACTTATAATAGACAATATTGAACTGACTTTCGCATATCTCTTCACTACCAAGGATTTCTTCATCTCCTTGTTTTTATGATCAAAATATTAACTTGCTATAAATGACAATTATGCAATTAAAATTAATTGAGTACGAAAAATCTATTAGTTTTTATATCAATTTTATGTAAAAGATTACCTTTCGACATATTTTGTCGTTTTTGTTGCTATGTGTCACATTGCTTTGTTATGTTTTGTAGTTTTTATTTCGTAAAAACAGAGGGATAATGGAACACTGTAGAATGTTCAAAAAGTTATCTGTGCATTAGTCAATTTCAGACAGAGCAGATTATCTTCACCTTTCTCTTCACTGTGAGACTTATCAGAATAATTCCAATTGCACTAACAGAAATGTTTTATCTGATGTATCTCACGACAAAGACACATTAAAACATGCTTTGCTTCATTCATCGTCTGTTTTATTCATTTTATTTCCAGCAAAACATAAATGTACACAAATGGTCACTATAAAACTGAGGTTGCGCATAAAAGCGCCAAGAAAAGAAAAGAAAATATATACGTGCAAATAGTTGTACACCGCCAAGCGGCGTGAAAGGGGGTGAAAACAGGAAAGATAGCAAAAAGCCACGTAAATGTAGGAAAAACAAACGTAGTGAATAAGACACACCTAAAATAGTTACTCGTCGAACCAAAGACACGACAGGAACCAATTATAGCCATTTGTCTCCTAAGCTTAGCTTTAGTCTCATTATGAGAGCGCCGAAAAAGTTGACTTTTTTTTCGCCAGACGGATTGAGCTGAAATTTTGAGTAATGAATAACGACTATTAGTTAAACATTTTCTGAAAGTTTCATCAATGTCGTCTCAACGGTTGCGAAGATAATTATTTTTATAGAAGGCGCTAAGTGAGTAGCGTTTATTCTCGTTGAACGTAACACCATCAAACTGTATTCTGTTAGAGCTGACCGTTGGTGCTATCGTTTATATATAAATCATCGCATTGAACCTCATAGTAGCTATTATTTTCTCAACATTTTCTGTTACTAGCTCAGAATTTCGAGAAAAACAGTAGTTCGAGAAACAGTTATATCATTCAAACTTTAACCAATAGAAATATGATTTTGAGTCGGTAGAATGATAGAATGTGTTAGATGTATGTAAAAGAAAATTAAACTTGAATCTGCAATACTAAATGAATTTTCATGTATAATGCACTAAAGTGCAGGACGGTACATTTAGTTTTTGAAAGTGCCCTAGAATTGATTAACTATGTAATGTGGCGTAACGGCTTGAAACTGTTTGGCTGGATCGTATTTCTTAACGGTTAACACTACTAATTTTTTGATATCAAATGTAGAGCCCTGCGGGACAAACTTTTTCTGTTCCATGAGCAAATAATGTTGTCCTGAACCCGTCTGTCCCATGAAAGAAATTTACAGGCTTTTTTGTCCAGTAATTTTTTGAAAAGCGTTTTCTTTTCGGCTAAGCCGTAACTGCTACAGGAGACGCTTAAACTCTCAAACCTATTTTTGCAAAATTCGAATGACAAAATTCAAGCATGGATTTTAAACTTAAAAATTCTTCTTTAAAAAATGTTTTACATCCGCTCACTAGCTCAGAATCGAGAAGAAAGAACTGTAAACCGAGTTTTAGATATGAAACATCTTCTGAAGTTTAGATCCAAACTGTTTCGCCTCTCCAGGTAAGTTTTTATTAGTTATCATAAAGTTACGGTTTTAATTTGATGTATTACGAGAATTCGACATTTGAAGTTGCGGCATAATTACAATCAAAACACGAAACTTATGAGACAACATTTTTCTGTGGCTGGTCCCAATCCCGTAAAGTTGTTAGGTAAAGTCCCGAGTCCGTCTATCCCGCGGGACAGGACGGAATTCAGCGCTCTAATCAAATGTCACAGTCAGTTCTGTTCTTTCTTTTTATTTCAGATAATCTATGGCACACACCATTATAGTCAGATATTTTAATACGGCAACAAATCAAAAAGAAGGTGAAAATTGTACGATACCCCTGTCTGCAGATGGACGGATAAATGTAAATATGTTATTAACTGTATTTGATCTCAAGTTTGCTTTTATCTACGATAGTATTCGTGCTAAAACGTGTGAGCTTTTGATGCCGGACGAATCAACAATGTCGGTCAGAAGTTTCAATCGGGTCGAAATGGTTGGGCAGAACATTTATGCTTATACTCATATATTACAAACAGCTGGACCTAGACGAAGTACGTTTTATGTCTGCTGGGCTGATTGATTATAAAGAAGATTTTTCTTAATTTAGTAAGAGAGTATTGGTCTAGAAGACCGATGTGCACGTTATGTCAATGGTGTTTTACGTCGGTAATTATGGCTGGCATAGGTATGATAATATCAGTTATATCTCGACAGCCTTATTCTTCATATTCGAACTTAACACAAGTTACACAGTGTCCAAAAAGATGGTTGTGATTTGTTTCTTGTTATTGTTAGCGTTTTTTTGTTGATGTTTTTTATGTCATTTGATTCTTTTAAACACTTTTCCTTCTTTTTTATTCTTATTAAGAAGAATGTTGATCATTCAAAGTCATCTTTGTGATTCGGATGGATATTCTGAACTTTTGTTGCGCATGAATGTTCAAGAAAGCTGATTATAGTTGATTAATTTCAGTCTAATAAGTAAGATAAAAGGAAAACATATGAGTGAATGGCATAGCCATTGTACCGTTTGTAAAAAGATTTGTCTGGAAGAAAAATCAAAGCAGAGTTAAATTGATTAACAAGTTAAGTGTCAGTGTGATAGAGGATCACAAAAAATGGCTTTTTCCTACACTTTATCCGCTTTCTTCGAGAAAACTGGGTTTATTCTGATAATGGCTAAAATCCCCACGGTGACTTCAAAATCCAGTATAGGTTGCCATTTTTTCAATAACTCAATAACAGCATAAGATAGAACGTTGCGGTCTCCAACAATCAAAAACAGACACCTGAGGCTAGTCTGTCAAAAGCAAAGACGGCTGTTAAAAACATTTCTGAAGCTGATTTTTCAGCGGATCTTTGGAAAACTAGTTTGGACTTCTAAAAACTGACATTGAAACAGGTCAATAGAAAGAATGTTGTGTGAAAAGAATGTGAAACAGTCAGGAATGTCAGGAAATACTCTGTTTTATCCGCTCATTCTGATTCCGGAAATATAGAATGATTCTATCATGGAGTATACAAAATGATTGTTAAAATTAAATTGCTATTGATCCAGGTTTAGAAAAACGAACTAATTCATATTGATACGTATCAACGTATCAATATGCCATATATCAATTTCTTAGGTTATCGTTGATAGAAAAAAAAATGAACAGTTATAAAATGAGTAGAATGATAGAAAATAAACGGGACGAAACGAGAGGATAATAAGAAAAGCTAGCTTGTACTACTATCGTACAGCAAAAACAATCTCTAAAAAGATATCAATTATTATAATAGTTCTGTTTCATTCATACACATTTTGTTTACTTTTAAATATACTTTACTACTGACAAAATCATTAATTAATTTTCATAAATTCATTACCTAGCTCATTTCTCTCTTTTCACCGACAAAAATAAAATTAACCGAGCTCATTTCTATCTTTTCCGAGTATAAATTAATTTCCGAGCTCAAATATCTCTTTTTCATTAAGATGCACGGAAAGCAGAGTTCGAGCGAAATTTAGATTTCGTTCGTTTATACATCATGCGATCTAGAATTGAATGAGGATCACGAATATCACGTCCCCATCTTCCAAAACCGTGTCATAGTTGAAATATTCTCGAACTACTTGGAACATGTCAAAAACCTTAAAAATCTACGTTT